TCGAGCTCTCGGCCCCGAGAAGCATCCCGAAGGTCCCAAGTGGCCCCCAAGAGGCCCCCAAGAGGCCCCCAAGAGGCCCCCAGGCCCCCCAAGAGGCTTCCAAGAGGCCCCAAAACTGCTCCCAAGAGGCCCCCGAGAGCGATCCGAGGTGACCCCCAGTAGCATCCCTGAGAACTCTGAGCCACAACCCAGGCACGTTGGCGGGATGGGCCAAAGGTCACTAGATGCGCGCAACCTCCCATAAGAAGCAGGGGAACGAGGAGGTACCGGATGATGAGGAAGTCGCCGTGAAGGAGGAAGGGAAAGAACAGGATCATAAGGAGGAGGGAAGAATACGGAGGCGCAATCAACTCAGGGACCCATCCCGGCACCAAAGCAACAGGAACGACAGCGGCAACGGCAGTGGCGACACGTCCGCGATCTCTCCGCTGCCGCATGGGCCCGAGGCCAGGATTATCTAAGTCCACCACCTTGGGCACCGATCCCCCCGACCTGAGCGGGTAGTGGATACGCAGACGTTCGGGCCCAAGGGGGGTATCCATGTCCGCGGTCTCTCGTGGTCATGGGAGATCGGCTCTCGGAGGGGTGTTGATGGAACATTCCGGCCTGGGAATAGGGGCCGTCGCCTCAACAGGCCCATACTTCCGACGATATGTTTCAACAATCCGCAGAGGTCTCGACCCCTTCCCAGGGAGCAGCTTCTCGTCCTGGGCCCGTCTCTGGTGGCCCCCCGGGCCCGAACGTGGCCCCTGGAGGCCGAAACTGCCTGGACTGAAGACATAGAAGAAGAACCAACGGCGTAATGAAGAAAACATAGAATAATAATAATAATAATAATAATAATAATAATAATAATAATAATAATAATAATAATAATAATAATAATAATAATAATAATAATAATAATAATAAGAACACATAGAAGAATAATAAGAAAACATTGACTGAAAACATAGAAGAAGAAGAGGAACATAGAAGAAGAACATAGAATCGCCGAAGGTCCGCGCAGATTTCTTGGATCTGCGCCAGGACCCCCCACTGGAGCGCGCCAGGGGCGGCGCTGGAGGGGCCGCCAGCGTGGCCCCGCGCCGATCCAAGAAATCCGCGCGGAGCTCCGAAAGGTTGTGTCCATGCCGCTGTTGGTGTTTCTTCGACGTTCGACAGGCCGCAAAACACGATCCGCCAGAACTCCGATCGGCGGCGGGCGAGGATGGGAAGCGAGTGAGAAGAAGGAGAAGGCCCTCTCCGAAGGCGGCGGGGCTTCTCAGAAGCCCCCCAGCCTTCTGAGAGATTGTCTGTGACTTCGGGGAAGGCTTCGACAACCTCCCAGAAGGCCAGAGGCCTTCCGAGCCTCCTGAGAAGGCCCGCCCCTGCTGACTTCCCCCTTTGGCTCGCCGCCGACATCCGAGACACCCGTAAGTCCCGACCCCTTCCCTGGGACCAGCTCCTGGGTCGTCTTCGAACGGTCCCCGTGCCCGGCGAGGGCCCCCAGAGCCGAAAACGTCCAAACACCTTCCCTCGTGATTCTGTCTTCCACAGCGGATGCAGAACGCGGAGGATGCAGGAGCAGGAGGCGCCAAGCGGATGAGGCAGGAGGAGGAAGAGGAACAGGCAGGAGGAACAGGCAGGAGAGGGAGGAGGAGGAGGAGGAGGCAGGAGGAGACTTCCGCCCCGGGCTCGCCGCCGATCCGAGGATCCGGCCGACGCGCGCATGCGTTGCGGCGCGGCGCTCCCCCGCGAGCTCGTCGGCGGCCCCCTCGCTTCCGCGATCTTCCGCTGCGGCGGGGGGGCTGCTGCTCGCGAGAGGGCGGGTCGGGCTGCGAGCGAGCGGGACCAGACCTCAACGTCTGCTGCAAGCGCGGCCAGAGGAGGAGGAGGAGGAGGAGGAGGAGGAGGATGAGGAGGAGGGGGAGGAGGAGGAGGAGGAGGAGGAGGAGGAGGAGGAGGAGGAGGAGGAGGAGATGAGGTAGGAGGAGGAGGAGGAGAAGGAGGAGGAGGAGAAGGAGGAGGAGGAGAAGGAGGAGGAGATGAGGCAGGAGGATGAGGAGACGAGGGCGGGAGGATGAGGAGAGAAAGAGGATGGGAAGGTGCAATACGCCGCCGCCGCCGACGGCGACATCGAACGGAAACACGAAGGAGAGGTGATGATGATGATGATGATGATGATGATGATGATGATGATGATGATGATGATGATGATGATGATGATGCCGATGATGATGGTGATGATGATGATGATTATGATGATGATGATGATGATGCTGATGATGCTGCTGCTGATGATGATAATGATAGTGACAATGATGATGAGGATGCTGATGCTGATGATAAGGATGCTGATGGAGATGACGATGAGGATGATGGTGATGATGATGATGTTGATGATGAAGATGATGCTGATGATGGTGCTGATGATGGTGATGATGATGGTGATGCTGATGATGATGATGATAATTCGTATGATCATGTTGACGACGACGATTGTGACGATATTGTTGATGATGATGATGATGATGATGATGATGATGATGATGATGATGATGGTACTGATGATGATGATGATGATGATGATGATGATGATGATGATGTTGACGATGGTGATGCTGACGATGGTGTTGTTGATGGCGACGATGATGCTGCTTATGATGCAGATGATGAGCACGATGATTATGGTGGTAATGATAACGATACTGATGATGCTGATGATGATATCGATGTTGCTGGTGATGATGCCGATGCTGATGTTGACGATTACGACGCTGCTGATGATGCTGACGTTGATGTTGATGGTGATGACGATGCTGATGATGATGTTGATGATGATGATGATGAGGATGCGGATGACGATGCTGATGATAATGACGAGGATATTGTTGATGACGATGATGATGATGAGGGAGGGGATAGCAATGCTGCTGATGATGATGCTGATAATGCTGCTGAAGATGATGATGCTGATGATGATGCTGATGCTGCTGCTGATGATGATGATTATGATTATGATTATGATGATGATGATGATGATGATGATGATGATAATGATGATGATGATGATGATGATGATGCTGATGATGATGATGATGATGATGATGATGATGATGATGATGATGATGATGATGATGATGATGATGATGATGGTGGTGATGCTCCTGCTGACGGTGATGATGCTGCGGCTGATGATGATGATGATGATGATGACGACGACGATGCTGATGACGATGATGCTGATGCTGATGCTGTTGATGGTGATGCTGATGATGATCCTGATGTCTCTGACTTTGATGATGATGAAGACGAATCGGACAACTAACATTACTTCGAGTATGACGGTGACTACGATGACGCCGACGGCTACGATGATGACGATGATAATGTGGATGATGATGATGATGCTGATGATGATGATGATGATGACGATGATGATGATGATTATGATGCTGCTGCTGATGGTAGTGGTGGTATCGATGATGATGATGAGGAGGAGGAGGAGGAAGAGGAGGAGGAAGAGGAGGATGAGCAGGAGGAGGAGGGGGAGGAAGAGAAGAGGACGACGAACATCCGAAGGAACAACAACCACCATCTCCAAACGCGCAAGTGCTCTGGGACGTGGGAGGAGGAGGAGGAGGCAACAAGGAGGTAGAGGCAGGCAGGCTAGCAGAGGAGAGGGAGGACGAGGCAGGATGGAGGAACGACATAAGAGATGCAGCAGGATGGACGAGGAATAAAGAGGGCCAGGGGAGAAGGATCGATGAGGGGACTGAGGACGAGGAGGACGAGGAGGACGAGGAGAAGGGTGAGAATGCGAAGGAGCAGGAGGAGCGAGCGAGGGGGGGAAGTGACAAGGAGAAGGCCTTCTCAGAAAGCGTCGGGACTTCTCAGAAACCCTCGCGCCATCTGAGGCTCGGAAAACTTCTCCAAAGGCTTGGGGACTTCCGAGCCTCCTGAGAAGGCCTGCTCCTTCTCGCTGCCCCCCCTCGCTCGCCGACGAGAGGAGGGATGCCTCCTGCCGCGGCATGCGGTGGTCACTGAACGGCAGCCTGCTGGCACGACTGGCAACGCCATGCGCCATGCCCGCGCGGCTGGCTACACGCAGCTGGAAACGCTGCCCCGCCCCCTGCCGCTGCCCTCGATCATCCTCGACCACAAATGTAGAGGAAGAGCACGCGAAAGAACATTTTTGACCTGCGGGCCGAGAGCGAACCTCTACCGGTGAGAACTGAGCGGGCTGCGCAAAGTACTAATTGAGGAGGCAGGGCGCAGGAAGGCGGGGCCACAGGCGGCCGAGGGCGGGCGGAGCTAGGGGTACAGGCGGTGCCGTACAGGGCGTGCAGGGCAAGGAACGCCTTGTGCACGTGAAAGAACATGCATCGCGGAGAATCCACGAAAAACTTTCGGAGCTCCGCGCGGATTCCTGGGATCGGCGCCGTGCCACCCTCCCTGGCGCGCTCCGCGCGCCGGGGGCGCCAACGCAGGTCCAAGAAATCCCCGCGGGGCCCCAAGACTTCCAAGAAATCTCCGCGGAGCGCCAAAAGTTTGTGTTCTTGGGGCCCAGAGGAAACTTCCAAGTCTCCTCTGGCCGACAGAGGCTGGGAGAGGCTTCCAGCTGCGAGGGCGACCATCGCGGGCTGCGCCACGCTGGTGCTAATTCGCGGGCGGTCCCCTGTTTCCGCGATCGACCGCTGCCGCAGGGGGCCAGCGCTCACATGGGAGCGGGATCAGGAAGAAGCTCGGCGGCGAGCGAGGGGGGAAGTGAGAAGGAGAAGGCCTTCTCAGAAGACTCGGAAGTCTCCTGGCCATCTGAGAAGCTTTCTGAGCCTTCCCCGAAGACGCAGAAACCTTCTCAGAAGGCGCGAGGGCGTCTGAGAAGTCCCGCCGCTTTCTGAGAAGGCCTTCTCCTTCTGCCTCACCCCCCCCCCCTCGCTCGCCGCCGAAAAGCGCCCCTCAGGAGGGCGCCGTGGCTGCAGCGGCTGCGCTGCGCTCCTCGAGCGACGCGGGAGCACCCGCGGGCGCCTCGGCGGTGCTGGCCGCGGCGGCGGCGGCGGCGTGGCGCCCCTTGCGCTCCTTCTTGGACTCGCGCCTCGTGCAGCCGGGCACGTGGCACTTCCTTTGAGCAGCGACCGACCGCCCCGGCATTCCTATAGTCCTACCACGAGATGTTCTTTGAACATGCTCCAGAAACAAGAGCAATGTTCTAAGAACATAAACCCGATGTGATAAAACAAGACAGACTCCGCCAGACATGCTCTAATAACACTTCGTGGAAACCACAAAAAGGTTCTTAGGACATTGCTTGGTAGGGCTGCATGCGAGCCAGGACGCTTCGCCACTGCTTGATTCCTGTGGCCACGCACGGGGGCGATCCCCCGGCGAGAGTGACCTCTGGTGCCCGGCTCCGTGGGTCCGTGGGGGGGCCTCGGGGCGGGCCAGGTCCAGGGAGCGCGCAGGCCGCTGCTGTCGCACCGCGCTCAGCCGCCCGGGGGGGGGGGGCGCGCCCAAAGATCGCTCCAGCGAAGGGCCACGTCGACGTCGCAAGAGAAAAAACATGCAGCAGCGTGAGAAGCATCACGACCGTAGCCCCGTAGACCCCATTTTTCTCCTGCGTTTCGCGAGCCGGGCCAATCTGCGATGGCTCCGGGGCCCGACGCCAAGCGAAACCGCCCGGCGTGGAACGGTTCGACGCCCGGATCTCGGGATCTTGCGCGTGGCCGGCTCCTGCACGCCACGCCGAACTTGCAGCTCTTGGCGTGCTTGCAGAAGCCCGCGCACAGGGGGTGCCCGCGGCTCCCCGCCGACAGGTCCCGCGCGGACACGGTGGCCAGGTCCGCGGGCTCCGCAAAGGCGGGGCGGCGCAGCCGCGGGGCGCCCGCGGGGCCCGGGTCGGAGGAGGCGCTGGGGCCGCCCGCGGGGGCCGCGCAGGGCACGGAGTCGATGGCGCCCTTGATGGGGTCGATGCGGATGAGGCGGTCCTGGGCGGCCTCGCCGAAGACGGCCAGGGCGGGGCCCGAGGCGGCCTCGCCTGGGGAGCCGGAGAGAGAGGGAGAGAGAGGGATAGAGAAAGAGAGAGAGAGGCAAGCGGCGGGCGTGCCCGGGCCGTTGCGTGAGGGAGCGGAGGGGGGGCTCCAAGAGGGCCCCGAGAGGCCCAGTTGCTGTGATCGTCCCACTTGCTGTGATCGTCCCCAGCCCCAAAAATACCGATTACCCAGGAACATAGAAGACTGTCCCCGTCCTTCGCCGAGTGTCCGAGGCTACCATCATCGTCCAAGTCCACGATGACTGCACCCTCCAGTTCGGAGGTACAGAGGTTACCTGCCGACAAAACAAAGCTGACATCATCCTAAACGCATCCCTCACCATCACCTGGATCCAAGCGACTCTCCTCAAAGCCAGTTGATCGCTCAGGCCGAGGCAATACGTATCCATTTGTTTCACAACAGTTCTCCAGTTGTGCCCTGATCAGCGGAAGACGCCACGGCAAACCCAATGCTGATGGTGCACAAGCTGTTGCGAGTGACCGGTGACAGCATCCCAAGAAGAGCCAAACACGGTGTGGGGCTGGACGCAGCCTTGCAAAACGCCTTTGCCGCCTTCTTCACAACGCAGTTCTCCAATGTCGCCATCGGAAAAAACGTTGCTAGGCTCAGACGACACGGCACCAGGAGTGGGAAACGCAGGCTGTGCGCCACTTTCGGCGTCGGCCCCGCCGGCGCCGGCGCAGTTCTGGCGGTTTCAGCCGCGCGGGCGTCACCTTCGAGTTCAACTACCGCGCCGAAACCGACGCGTCACGACCAGTCGTCACGACCAAGCACCAGCACTACCCTCGCCGACACCTGCACCGACTCCCACCGCCTCGACGCACTTGGTGCCAACAGCGAGGACGAATGCTAGGCCGTCTGATTTTTTTTTTTTTTTTTTTTTTTTTTAAAAAAAAAAAAAAAAAAAAAAAAAAAAAGGGGCACGCCGGTGGCCTGTGCCTTCACTCTCGAGCTGCACGGCACCGCGGCAACGCTGGCTGCCCAACGGCGCCGTACTACTGGCAACGAGCCCCCGTGTGCAACTGTCACCTACATCGCGAGTGTCCGCGCAAACCTCCAGTGGGCTGCCGAGGTTTACCACGCGAAGTGGGACAAAAGTTCCACGTGGCCTTTCGCCCTGGCGCGGGCGCCCATCCCCCCCCCACGCCGCAGTCGCCCGCGCCATGGTCCATCGCCACCGTCGCGGCCGACGACTGCAAAAGTGAACGATTACGAAAGCATCGAAAGCACATACCCACGACGGCATGAGCGCCACGAGCCCAGCCGCGCCACTGACGCCGTCAGGAGGCCAGGCTTAGGCCTCTGGTGCATACTTGCAAGAAAAGGCGACCAACGTAACGTGTCTCCAAGCCCTCCTGAGTACCCCCACAACCAGGACGACAATAATCACTTGACACAACGTGCTATCGATACGTTCCAGGGATTCCGGGATTTCTAGCAGCCTTCGCGCGGGGTACACTTTGCGCAGAGAATTGTCTACTCTGCCTGGCGCCGCTGGTCGGTCACCCATTCGCAATCGAGTAGTCGCCCGTAGCGGGCTATTTGGCACTTGCTGATCCCCCCTTTCGTTGCCGAGCGCGGGGGGGGGCGGTGGCGCGCCGCCCCGTCGCCCGCCGCCGCGCACTGCGCGCCTCGGCAGATAACCGAAGACCTGGTAATGCAAACCACGCGCGGCTCCGGAAAATTCTCCGGGGGTAGATTTGCAAAATGCGGGAACCATTGTGGAAAATGCCCGGCCTGCTTTTTGAAAAAAACCCAGAATAGATTTTGAAAGATTCCAAAGTCGATTTTGAAATAATACCGGAGAAAAACCCCAACCAGGGCTATAGGGCTAGGGGGGCTATAGGGCTATTGAACTATAGGGCTATACTGGGATGCCCAGGGGGGTTGGCATCTACTTGGGCCAGTTGTATTCAGTTGCGCTGGGGTTAGGGCGGTTATCATAACCAGGAAATAAGTAGGACAGCGCAAGCTGCTTCTAAGTACTTAGGCTGAGTGGGTTAGTGGACTTGCCCGATGCAAGCTAAGTAGGTTAGAGGGAAGAGCGCTAACCTTACGCAAGGGAGTTGCTAAGTAGGTTGACCCAGCGGGGAGCGACTAGGGACATGCGCCCGAGGTCACACCTGACCTGCCCCCGCGTCCCACGGCTCGGCGCTGGAGGCACCGCCGACTTCCGTTGCGGGGGAGCCGCGCCATCCGCCGCCAACGGGAGCGCGGGCCGCGACGGCTGCAGCGCCGCGGCCGCACCAGCCATCTGCAGTCATCTCGAATCCGAACCTCTACGGCGCGCTCGAGTCGACGGGGTCCGCAACTAAGCCGGGATGGACAAGTTCCCGCGGAAACACCGAGGGCGAGACGTCAGACCCCAGTTCGCGTGGCTCGCGCATGACATGCAGCCAACCGCCCCAAGGAGACCGAGCTTCCACCGCGGCGCCGGGGCCAAACTCCCCCCCCTGCTCCGCCATTTGGGCTGGCAACGTGAGCCAAGCCCGAAGCGGCGTGACAAAGGCCAAGTGGCCCACGCGCGGGCCTCTGGCCATCGACGCCGCAGCCGCCGGCACGCACGCGCGGCCCTCCGTGATCGGCGACGCGCACGGTAGCAATGCCCGTGCCGAAGGGCCCGCGGGCATCCTCGTGGTCGAAGTTCCCCCTGCAGGGGGCCAGGGCGGTGGTCGCGCGATCGTCAACGTGCATGGGCCCTACTACCACGCTCGCTTCATCTTCCCACGTGCCATCAGCGCCGCTGCGAGGCGGGGCTGCTCCGATCGCGCCTCGGAAAAAGGCTCGCGTGCGGACCCCTTCCGACACTGGCGGAATTGGCGACATCGACCTCCTCCTCCTCTTCTGGGCGCCTCTTCTGCGATCGCAGCGTCCGAGACAGCCCAAGGGGGCCTTCCGGGTCGCCCCGAGACGGGCCACGAGGCCCCCGAGAAGGATCTCAGACGCCCCGATGGGGGGCCCAAGACCGCTCAAACAACCAACAAAACAAAACAAGCCAAGAGGGCACCAAGAGGCCCTCTGGACGGTCCAAGGAGCCCACGAGCCGTCGACAAATATCGAGAACGCCCGCGCTGGTCTCCAGATGGCACAAGCGGCTTCCAAGACGCTACAAGATGCCTTCGAGAGGCGTCCCAAGACTGCCTCAAAGAGCATCAATCGCCCCAATTCCACAGGACACGTGCGTTTTCAGCACGATCGCCTTCGGTGCGTTCACAGCCTGCAAGACAATGCAAGAAGCCTCCGGGATCGCCCCAAGACGGCCCAGGAGGGCTCCCAGACGGCCCAGGAGGGCCCCTGGGCCGCTGAAGAAACCCCCAAGACGGCCCATGGGGGGCTCCAGAACAGCCCCACGAAGGAGCCCAGAGGGGGAACCCAAACGAATATTTCGAGCTTTCGGCCCCGAGCCGCCCCCTGGCTGCCCCAGACAGTCCCAAGAGCGCCCCTGGGGGACTCCGAGAGGCCCGGCAAAAAATCCCAAGAGGCCTCCAGGAGGCCCCATAGCGGTTCACAACTGTTTTCCAAGAGACCCCGCCTGCCATCCACGCGGCCCCAGACCCGCAGCTCAAGCGCGGTGGCGGGATGCGCCGAAGGCCATGCGATAATTATTTTTATGGGCCGCCGCCGTCGTCGCCACCGCCGTCGGCCGCCGCCGCCGTCGCCGCTGGTCTGAGGCCGGAGATAACAGGATGCTTCGCCTGGAGATCGCAGGCGGAAGCTCCAGCGCCTGCCCCCCCCCCCCGGCCCCTCGTGCACCCCCCTTTCGGGTCCGAGCTGCCGCTTGAAGGTCGGGGGGCGGGGGCGGCTGAGAAAAAAAACGAGGGGAACTTGGAGCTTCCAGCCGCGCCCCCAGGGCCTCCGAGGCTTCTCCAACGGCCAGAACCGCCTCAAGCAGATCGACAACGCAATCCAAAACAGCGCCGACATGGCGCAAGGTGACCCAGCGACGTGCCAAGATAGCATCGAGACGGCGCTCGGCCCGCGCTCTTCACAGAGAGGTACCGTTGCTCGTCGAATCGACATCGCCTGAAGGCGAGCCCACAAGTCCGAACTCGCCCCATCAGACCCACCCCAACCCACGCCCCTCGTCAACCACCTCCCCGACAATTTCTCCTGGACATCACCCCGTCCAAGCTTTCAAAACGAGTTCAGCTCCTGCGACGAGAACCCCACGGCCTCCGCGAAACCAGCATCTGCAGCCGACGAAAAACATCCCGCCAGACATCTGGGCGTCGGTGGGTTAGGGGGGCCTGCTTTCCAAGTCGTTCTGCCCCTTCGGATAATGATTCACCCCTGCTCCGTGCTCACGGGCGCCCGCCCGCTCGACTGACGTCCCAGTCATCGCGAAAATTAAGAAAACATAATGCCTTATGTTGGAGGCCTGGAACTGGGCACCAACGCCAACGCGGGGGTTTGCCTCCGCAGGGGGAAGATGATCCTAGATTTCGGTGTTGGCGGTAATCTTCCGGCCGCGTTGGAAGCCAGAATATCACCGCCATCGCCGAGATCGGGATCTTCTTTCCTCGATGGAGGCACACCGCCGATATTGGTGTTGGTGTCAACCTCTAGGCCTGCGAAAAGCGCATTGCGTGGCATGGCCTGGCTCGTATCCGGGCGCCCCGCCCTCGCTGCGCATTGGTCTGTTGCGCGACGGCAGGGGGCGCCGCATTGCCCCGCGCGCGCGGGCATGCCATCCCTCTCAGGAAGGAAAGCGCTGCAGCATGAACGCGGCGGCAAAATTCACGGACCCCTCTTGAAGCGCACCCAGCGCGTAAATCCTAACCGCCCCCCCGACCCCCCCCCCCGCCCGCGCCCTGACCCAGTCGATATGGAAGGGTGGGCCCGCCCGGGCTCTGCGGGCCCTTAGAGCGGCCTCAGCGCGCGAATTGCCCCCCCCCCCCCCCCCCCCCCCCCCCCCTCCGCCCTCAACGCCCTGACCCGGTCGATTTGGAAGGGGTGCCCCGCCCGGACCCCGCAGGCCCGGCCC